TTTGTTTTTAAACATGTCATTATTAGTCATTTGATGTTAAACAACAACAGCTAACTATTGTATAACCAAACAGTTATATTTATCGAATCCGTTATTTACTATCCGCTACCCACTTTCCACTATCCGCCATCCGCTAATCGCCACCCGCTACCTGCTACCCGCGACAGCTACCCGCTACCCGCTACAGCTACCCGCTACCCGCTACCTGCTACCCGCTACCCGCTACAGCTACTCGCTACCCGCTACCTGCTACCGGCTATCCGCTGAATTTTAACAGCTGTACCAAACAGGACCTAAAACTTTTTGATTAAAATGTTAATTGGCAAGATGAGGATGACGAGTAAGCAAAAGCAATGGGTTGAATCAGACTGTTTGATCTAGTGATTCATTTTAAAATTTTAAGTATTTGAATTTAATTGATTAAAATTTTGATTTTTACCAATAAATTAAAAAATATCCCCCATCCCCCAATTTTCTCAATGTTCAAAAAAGAAAAAAACAATGGGCTGACGTGTAACATGTCTACCGTATAAAGAGAAAATAGATTGATGTTATAACAGACATGAAATATCCATTGAAATGTCGAGAAAGTTGATAATGGTGGGGGAATGGTATAGACCTATAACTTTTTTTGCACTAATGATTTGTAAAAATATAACATATGGTCATGCGTGAATCGATATTAAATTTATTCATTTGATGTGACCTTATATTATATAATATTTATTATACATTTAGCAACGTGAATGGTGATGGTTATTACTATCCTAAAATATATTAGGATTTCTACAAAAAAAAAAAAAAAAAAAACTAAGTAAAATATGTTAGTACTATTAAGGTTAAATTTAATTTTTTATCTATTAACTATTATTCTCTTATCATTTTAATTTAGAAAGTTTAGTTTCTTCCAAATTCATCTATAAACTTTTAAAATCATATCAAATTCATCTATCTAATAAACTTTTGTTAGGTTTTTTTTTTTTATAATAAAATCCCATGTTAATGCTTATATGGCACCAGTCAGCACTTAGTGTGGCATATGTGCAATTTCTATTATTACATATTTTATCTTTAAAAAAATAAAAATAAAGATTTTTTTAAAAAAAAATAATGATAAATAAGATTAACATTGGGGACTAAGCAATTTTGGTCCAAAATTTAGCTTATGTTACATCACTTAAAATATTAAAAAGTGAATTTTATATTATTTAATGATTGTTTTTTTTAGAACTTATGGTATTATATGTATCAACTAATTTAATAATATAACTCATGTCACGTCATTAATCATAAATTTTTGTCATTCCTATCATTACTCTTTCATGATAGCAAACACTATTAAAATTAAGATATAATCATAAAATTAAAGTAGAAAAAAATATTTATCTCCTTAAAATATAAAAAAAATCACATTTATTTTAAGACAAATTCTAAATAAAAAA